ACAAAAGACATTAAATATGAAAATAATAGAAAGCACCGGTGAAAAGTAAAGAAAAAGTGGTATTTAGCTTACATATTTTTACTGATTATCTATCCTACTTTTTTTTTTTCGCTTATTATACAAGCATACATTACTTTTATCAAAGGCTGTGCAGTTGCTGTTGTTACCTTTTTTTCTTTTTTTGCAATCAGAAAATTAAAAACCGATTTTTTTTTTTTCCATTCAGCCTTTTTTGCCCATACCCCATAAAAAACGAATTTATCAGTAAAAATGAAAAATGGATATATGACTTTGAAAAGGCAACATTTCTGTTTCCAACTACCCCATTTGCTCAATCTAATGCAATTATAGCAAAGAGATGAACATTTAAAACATTCTTTTTTTCCGCTTTTTGCCAAAATGTTTTTACTTAGCCAGTGTCAACGCTGGTAACTACAAAGTAAAAGCGAAACTTAGATATTTTTCAGTAACTCCTTCTTTGCTTAACCCGTTCTGAACAGTTAAATGTCATTTTGCAATGGTAAACTGAACAAAAAGAAGCACTTTTTTCGCGCAAATAAAACTAATCCTCGCTCACCATTTCAACAAGATTTATAGCTCATGGTAGACTACACAGCTCTTCTTCCTACTGAAAAATTAACAACCGGTTAATCGAATTAATTAGGATCAATCAGCAAACTAAGCTCACTGCTTATTCACCTCTGCTTCGCTATTTGGATAACAACTTTCTGTTTCTCCATCAAGGCAACACGAAAAAATTTAGCTGTCCAAAATACCGTCATCCGTTTAGCAATTTAATCAATCAGGCAGCTACAAAAACTGAACCATTAGGAAATTATCCGCTAAATTACTAAGCAAAAAAATAAAACCCTTTCATCATTTAGAAAAAATAACCTTCCAAAGTTAAGATAACTGCAGAATCACCACTGCTGCTGATAACACTGAAGACAGCAACAAAATGAAACAGAGGAGTTGAGCATCCAAACTTTGCTTAAAAACCATGTGTTTAATCTATTTTATTTTTCAAACCCTATATGGTCTAATAAACCATACATAAATCAAGTTCTGATTTTACTTTTACATAAATTCACTGAAGACATACTGCTCGTCGCGTTTTCAAATATTGATAGAATAAGATTTCCATTGTTATGTTGCTCTTATCGTACAAAGCGTTCGACCAACTCTTGAGAAAGCCTAAATTTTTGTCAGTGAATGCTTTCAAAAGTTAGATTACTTCCTTTTTTTCATTTTAATCATTTATTTGTCTCATCCTCCTCTGCTGTCTTTAACCACTATCCTCGGAAAGCAAGCTAACAAACAGTAGCTAAAAATTACCAGACTTCCTTAAATAAAAATGATTCCTAAATTAGACGTAATAGTTGTTGTTTTAGTGTGGTGGGTATTTCAAGCAGATTAACATTTGCTACAATTATATCAAATATCTGCTTCTCTCTTCAGCTACCTAGCTACTTCTTCTTTTTCATCATTGTTTATATCTTTCAAATTCTACCAAATAACACCATCAATTTAAGGAAAAAAAGCTTGACTTCATTTTCGTCCTATTTCAGTTCTTCCATAAAATAATTCACAACTATCTCACATGCTGCAATATCGATGATAACGAAGAAGTTAAAGAAGAAAAGAAGTCTCACGATTCTAAACAATTTCTGAAGACATCACTGAAATCAAACGACCGATGTTTTAAAGCTACTTACGATAAACAACTGACGAAACTAAATTCAAAGGTGGAGATTAATTAGTTTTTTTCGTTAATTAATAAAAAGAAAAAGAATCACCCTTGATTTATTATTACCAAAAAAGTGTCATCAGCACTTGGGAATTGGTTAGAGCAGTGACAGACCATAGGCCAATTAAGATAAAGCAAGCAATTAGACAAAAAATGAAACGTTAAAAAGGCAACTCAGACAGACAAAACAACACGTACTTTTAGCTCCAAATTTCCACTGTTTCCTGTAATAATTGTTGCCCGTCTACAGAAATCTATAGACGATACAAATTCACTGCAACGCAAAGAGCTGCAAAACTGCAGAGTCTCATCAATGTTTTAAATGCCATAATAGATGTAAGAAAGTCTATAGAACTTCACACCCAACAAAAGTATACAATCTTAAAATAACAACAAACTTAAGAACTACCCTTCAATAAAATCTAAGATAATAGCCTTCATAATCAGTTGAGAACAATCCTAAAAAACTTTTTTATTTTATTCTTTATAATCCTAAAATTTATTCTAAAATTATAAAAAAAGGCATCAATTTTAGTGACAAAAGAAAAGACGGCTATCACAGTTACGAGCAAAAATAGGCCACATAAATCAATGAAAAAGAGGAATAAAGAGGATGTAAAACTGATCATTCAAGAAGAAAAAAAATTTTTTTTCAAAATAGTGATAGCATCTATAAGACATTAGATCTTAAATTTTTCGTCCATTACTACCACTTGTCACCTGACGATAGCTTTGTCACTTTTCATCGGAAACAGGATGACTTTACCAAAATTTCACAGCAAGTTTGAAGATCAAAAAAGCTAAAGACGTTACTGACAAAACTTTCACTGAATCGCTTTTCAATGATATTCTTACAGACGTTTAACCAACTTTGCTTACAGGAGAATCGCCCTCTGGTCAGACAACTCTCAGTAACAGCGTTCAGTAACGTCGTATAAGAATTGAAAAAAAAAGACCTAATAAAAACTGATAATGTACTAACTACTGACAAAACCTTCAAGACTCAATCCCGTCTCCCCTCATTGCCAAAGAATTAAGCAGTGAACTGTATTATCGATATTACCTAACCCGGTTGCAATAACCGAACCAAACAATCAAAAATTTCCCTGAAGATGTTGTAACCTGAAAACCAGGCTCCTGCTTTTTTCTTTTTCACTGCTCCTTATTTGCCCTTCCAGTTCACTACCCACTTTCATTAGAAACGTGTTTAACGTTGAACATTAGGAAGGATATTGATCAGAATTCCCAGTTCTTTAAAAGAGTCTTGTAAACCTAAAAAAACTGAAAAAATACTAACTATTGGCTAAAGAACCTTCTTAACTTCAACATTATCTCAACCTAAGTACTACTGAAGGACAGTTGCCTAAACGATATTAATTAGCAACGAAAAAAGAATGACAGATACGTAGGGGATACTATGGTCAACAATATGAAGTAAATCACCAAATTAAAAGCGAATGGTAGTAATAAAAATCGTAACAAAACAAGATTTTGTGCAGTTAAATTAAAAATTTTACTGAGTACTTTCACTGAAAAACCTACTTTTATATTCCATTTTCCATCTTTTTGTTGCCACTTTTCATTTCAAATCATAAATGTTTGTTTTTTTCTTTCCTCTTTAGTTATTCATATTCACTTGTCATTGAAAATAATTAATTGCTGTGTACAGTGGTGATTTCATAATGCTAATATTATCATGCAAACGAGTCTAAATAAAATTGAACTACTTCTAATTGCACGCTTTCAACTTTTTTTACAAATACAATTTTTAGTCGAAATCAAAAATCCAAGATGTATCCTGCCCGTAATGTCCCCTCTGAAGGATTTTGAAACAATGACTTTCAGAACAAAATAGAGAAAAAGCTTGAGTATTTAGCGCATTTTGCAGTGAAAGAAAAGCAGTGTTCCTGAAAAAACCAATTACTACCTTCTTTCTTTGCCCTCTAAAGCAAGATTATTGAAAACCCACCAAGAAACAAGCAGAGGCAACACTAAAAAATCCTATTGTACAAAGCAGGAATTACCACTCATATGAAAATCTGATCAGATGTAAAGAAAAAAGTGCCCCGTCCTGTAGGGATATGTAAAAGCAACACTACCTTAACGCTCCAGAACAGTGAGGAATTGCTGTATCCATCACGACAACAGATCGACACAATCCTTACCAAATTACTGATACCAATTCAACGGAAGACACAACACAGCGGACTAAAATGAATCAACAAGTTACCCACAGAAATTCGACACTCTGTTACAGAATTATCAAAAAACCTCTCGGAAAAACTTTCTCCACTAACAGCAAACGACTGTCTATTTACAATATAACAACCAATAAGCCAAATGAAAACAGCCACTGCGGAACAGAGAATAATTTTTCCATTCAATAACCGTTCTTCTCTACTCAAATGTTTCTGAGGCAAGAGAACATCACTCTATGACTGTCAAGTTTTTGCAAATGTAATAAAATACTCTTTTAGCACCAGAACAGATATTTATACTTATTTCCAAAAAAAAAAAAAAAAAAAAAAAAAAAAAAAAA